CATCGAGGCACGGGGCGCAGCGGGCGATTGGACTGCCCCGCGGCCCAAGCGCTGAGCTTAGGCAGCCGCAACGGCAACAACATCGCATTGGAAGAAGTCCCAAGCTGTTTGAAGGACATCCATCACCAATTCGGTACCAATGCCGCGGCCGCGTACTCCATCACGAACGCAGCGAAGGATTTGGCCGTGCTGATTGAGACCGAAATGGCTGACTACGACGTGTATCTGTACGGGATGAGCTACGGCACGTTGGTAGTGGAACGCCTGATGCACTTCTCGCCGCCCCAAGTCAAGGGCTACATCCTCGACAGCATCTGTGCCGACCACTACGAACCTCAAGGGACCGGAAACAACCAAATGTTTAACAACTGGGACGACGACGTCAAGGACGTGAGTCAGCACTTCCTGGACCTTTGCCACAAGGATACGGCCGTGTGCGGCAAACTCCTAGGCGAAAACGCCACCGTCACCTTATTCAACCTGTACGACACGCTGGATGCGAACGCATCGGCATGCTCGGCTATCTTTTACGACGCGCTCGAGATCAAGCCATCCGTGTTTCTCCGCCTGTTCTTTTTCAAGCTTCTCGGCCGCTACGACAGTCGCAAGTTCATCCCGACGTTTGCCGCCCGCCTAGAGCGCTGCAATGCCCAAGATAAGGACGTGATGACCGCGATTCTAACCAAAAATGATCCAGCAGAGACTTCTCTGGTCTTGCACTCTAACCTCCTACACGACACCATCGTGCATTCCGAGGTGTGGCAAGTGCCCACGCCGTCAATGGAGGACATCCTGCAGCAGTTCCTGGCGTCGCCTATTGCCCTGAACGACCCGGACAAAGTCGGGAGCTACTGCCTCTTCACGGGCTCCAACTCGTCTGGGTGTGAGCCGTGGGCCGATATGAACGTCCCCCTCTGGACATATACCTCGGACAAGTACTTCAACAAAACCGCGGCCAATCCCATCGGGGTGTCTGTGCTCGGTCTCACGGGCAACTTGGACCCCGTGACCCCGTCAAAGCATGCCCGACGACACTTTAACAACATGAAAGGCGACAACAAGAAACTGGTTGAGTTCCCCGTGGCAGTACATGGCGTCATTGGGAACACCCCCCTGTCGGACAACCACACTGATCCCCATTGCGGCTTGCTTGTGGTCGCTGAATTTCTTCGCGCCAGCGGCGCGCTGGACGCGATGAACTTGACCTGCATGGACAAGGTGCAGCCTCTCAATTTCGACATCCCGGACGCCTTGGACCTCGAGCTGTTTGATCTGGACGGCGGCTATACGGTAGTAGATGCATTGCGCATGGCTACTGCACAGCATCGAATGGAGCGATTGACACATGGTTGGGCACCAATGAATATGGTTGCGCTTGTCGTGGTTCTGTCCGGGAATGATACTTTCCAGAAGTGCACGATTGGGATTGCTTCCAATGTCCGTGGGAAAAACACCAAAAGAGGCTTTTGTCCTGCTGTTAGCAGGTTTTCCCCCCACGAGGAGTGAGCCAATCAGAGCCGACGATGTCACAAGTGGTCTGGCTTCTGCCTCTCACTTAAGCACTAATGACTTCTGTTTTTGCTCTATTCTGTGTGCTCCTCGCCCGCAGCCCGTGTGCTCTCCTCCTGGGTTTCTGGGTTTCTGGGTTTCTCCTCTACCAAGTGCTTCCTCCCTTTCGCCCTTCAATAGGTTATGAGCCTGCGCCGCAGACTCATAACTACACGTTTCTTGGCGAAGTCCTGCGTGACGTTGCCCACTTCGAACGACGGAAAAGCGATTTCGCGGGTTAGGCGACCGGGTATCATCTGTGGGACTACTTCACCAAGGAAGACTACATCGAAGTCGTTCGCGAGAACGAGTTGAACCAAAACGCCCGCTCCGCCGTCAAGTACGAACAAGATATGGTGCCCCAGAGCTGACCATTAACCAGAAATAGCAAGGTGAAATAGGCAATTTTGTATGGAGCGCACGGTGAACCACCTTGCGAAATCCATAAATACTTCTGAAATTGTATAGTTTCAATTAAATATATCTTCAAGTTTGTATTGCTGATTTTTATTTTTCATGTGTCTGTCTCTTTTTGGAATTCGCAAGGCAGGTCACCTTGCGAATTCAAAATTGTCCAATTTTGTCCAATGAGATGCCGTGAAATCACGAAATCGCTGCGTAGATTCATCACGCCGTGTTGCGATATACTACTCTGGTCCACAATGACTGTGCCAAAGTTTAGACTTGGATATAGTATAGGGAGCGGTTCAAGAATATCTTGAAAATTGTATTGGATTCTGAAAACGCATAACTGAGTCGGCAAATAG